CCTCAGCTCCTGCCCAAGCAGGGGCTGCCTGATTCCTACGGGGTGAGTGCCCCCTCAGCTCCCACCTGAGCAGGGGCTGAGGAACTCCGGCCAGCAGTGCCCAGCCCTGCCTTCCTGCCGTTGGGCTGGGTCTGCTGTGCAGGGGCTGTAGGGTGGAACTTGATGGTGCCCTTGACTTCCCTTTCCTGAGGCTGCGGGTCCTCTCTGTGCCTCTGGGTTTCCAAACATGGCCCAGCCTGTCACTCCCATACTGAGGGGCTCAGTCCCAGGAGGGACAATGGCAGCTGCACCCCAAAGCCTCGGAGGCCTAGCGAGTGGAGCAGGAGGTGGTGAGGAAACAGCCCTGGGACGTGGCGTCAGGAGTGCTGCATCTGTACACACCTTAGCCACTGGGATGGTTCCCAGGCTCCGCGGGAGGGACTCCTAGACTCTGGGCATCTGAGGAGATGTGAGCTCAGAGAGGGGCTCTGGCTTGGCCGCCTCCACTCCCAGGGCCATGGTCTCTGAGGGAGGCCTCTGGAGCCAGGAGCCCAGGCTGGCAGGCTAGCGCTGGCCCTGGGTTCCCAGGATGAGGGGAGCAGAGAGCCTTTGCAGAGGGAACTTAAGCTGTCATTGCCCCACATTAAAGCAGTTTTCCGCGAGGCGGGGAAGGGGCTGAGAGGAGCCGCCAGGACCCCGCTCACGTCCTCCTGTGTCCTTCTTCACTGTGCTGAGGCCGCTCACCCAGGAAGCAAACACCTCCTTTGCACGCATCCCGCCCCCACGCAGGCTACTCTCTCTCAGGGTCCGGCCAGCAGTACTGACTCCCTCTCTGTGCTCCTACACCCACCCGGGGGCACTGTCTCCTACCTCCCAGGCATCACCACTGTCCCCGTGGCAGGGATGAGCCCTCCTGCCTTCCCCTATCTACAGCCCAGGGCCCAGAGTTCAAGCACAGCTCTGCAGCCTGGCCCAGCCCCTGCTGTCCTGCAGACGGCCAGGCCTAGCCCTCACTGTTGGCCGTTTGTGTTCCAGGATAACCTCAGAGAACGTGGCCGAGCGGTTTGGCATTTCCCGGGAGAAGCAGGACGCCTTTGCACTGGCTTCCCAGCAGAAGTGAGTGCTACCGGGACTAGGCACGTGAAGGGCTGGAGAGTGGGGCTTTGAGGCTGACCTGCATGGTCTGAGTAGGGCTCTCCTAGGGCACAGCTGGGCGGTGAGGGCTTCCCAAGCCTTGTGCCTCCTGGGAGGCAGAGCTGGAAAAGGGCCAGGGCCACTGTGGGTTGGTGGCACGTCCAGGTCCTCTGTCTGTTCACCTTGTTCATCTTCTTACTACCTGGGCCTCAGTTTCCCTGTCTGTTACTGGGGATGTAATGGGGGCCAGGATTCTGCCTGGCTGGCATTTGGTGATTGGACATGGTAGGCACTGGTGTCTCTGGAATGGAGCCAGTAGTACTAGGGGGCCCAGCATCCTTGTCTCTGAACCATGCCTGGGTCTGGGGAGGACATCAGAAGCTCCAGGGGCTCAGGCCTCAGGGTAGGGGCAGGCTGAGGCTGGCAAGGCAGAACCTCAAGAGAAGAGCTGGCAGAGCCAGGTAAAATATCCTTGAGGCCCCATCCTCAGCCTCAGCACAGAGACACGAACAGGCCCCTCTGCTCCCTCTCCTTGGTGGTTGGGATTGGGGCTGATGGCGAAGAAGGCCTCGGCCACACCTCCCACCCTTGGGAGCCTGAGACTCGCTGTCCGTGGCACTGGCAGGGCAGCCAGAGCCCAGAGCAAAGGCTGCTTCCAGGCTGAGATTGTGCCTGTGACCACCACCATCCGCAATGACAAGGGCACCGAGAGAAGTGTCACTGTGGCCCAGGATGAGGGTATCCGCGCCAATACCACCATGGAGGGCCTGGCCAAACTGAAGCCTGCCTTCAAGGAGGGCGGCTCTACCACAGCCGGTGAGACAGGGCTGGGGCTGGGGTCAGGGAAGGGACCACGGCCACGTGGGGTGTTCTCCTCTGGAGTCTGGGCTGGGGCTGGGGTCAGGGAAGGGCAGACCAGGCCTCTGGACGAGGTGGACATGGGAGGGCCAGACCTCAGCCCTGCCCTGAGGCCTCCTCACCCCTGTGGTTACCCCTAGGAAACTCTAGCCAGGTGAGTGACGGGGCAGCTGCTGTCCTGCTGGCCCGGAGGTCCAAGGCAGAAGAGTTGGGCCTTCCCATCCTTGGGGTCCTGAGGTCCTATGCAGTGGTTGGGGTCCCGCCTGACATCATGGGCATTGGGCCTGCCTATGCCATCCCTGTCGCTTTGCAGAAAGCAGGTAAGGTGGCCCCTTCACACCCTAGATCTGGATCCCACTCCCATCCTGCTTGCTGCTACTGGGGGTGGGGGGACAGGCCAGCACCCACACCCAAGTCCTTAGTGATCCCACACGTGGTACGGCTTGCCCTTGTGGACAGACACACCAGGTGGCCTGCAGGTCACAGGTGGGGTGAGGCCCAGGGAGAGTCCTGCTAAGGGTCACTGGGTCAACTCAGGCCTTATCCCCTTGCCTGCAGGGCTGACGGTGGGTGATGTGGACATCTTTGAGATCAATGAGGCCTTTGCCAGCCAGGTAAGCCTTTGTTCCTCAGCACTGCCTGGGCCCTGGCAGCCTGGCTGGAGCCAGTGGGTAAGCAATGCAGGGGTAGGGGGCCTGTAGCTGAAGCTCTGCCTCCTTCCAGGCTGTCTACTGTGTGGAGAAGCTAAGAATCCCCCCTGAGAGGGTGAACCCTTTGGGGGGTGCAGTGGCCTTGGGCCACCCACTGGGCTGCACCGGGACACGACAGGTTGTCACACTGCTCAACGAACTGAAGCGCCGTGGGAAGAGGTGAGGGGGTCTCAATTTTCCAAGCTGGGGCAGCTGGGGGCAGTTATAACTCTGACCTGAGGATGCAGGGAAATGATCCGTTTTTCCTGGGGGCCACCTTTGAAAGGGGATCCTGCCTGCAACAGCATCTGCTGCCCTGTGTGTGCGTGGGGAGGCAGGCAGAATACCAGACACGGGGAGATCTGGTCCGGGAGGCTCCTGTGGCTGGCAGGCAGGCAGAATACCGCACATCTGTAGATCTCGTCCGGGAGTCTCCTGTGGCAGGCAGGCAGAATACTGCACATCTGTAGATCTGGTCCGGGAGTCTCCTGTGGCAGGCAGGCAGAATACCGCACATCTGTAGATCTGGTCCTGGAGGCTCCTGTGGCAGGCAGGCAGAATAC